CTCTCATGGAGCAGACGCCGAACGGGAGTACCTCACTCTCTTTTTACCCCCCCTCTCCTGGTGGGGGGGCGGAGGCGCGGGACGGTGCCCCTGCCGCCGCTGACGGACGAGTCTGACGCCTCGGCTGCGGTTGCTGCGAGTGTCTCTCTGCCTGCCGCTGTGGCCGGGTTGGCCGCTGCTGCTACCGCTGGTGCCGCTGATGCTTCACCGCCGGCTGGAGCCAGCCGACGTGCTGGCGGATATCATCCGCCTGCTCCGCTGCCGCCGTCACCACCGAGTTGGCCAGCAACGCGATGTTGTTTGCCGCCGCAGATGCCTGAAACGCACATTGGTGCGCCCGGTCAGCCTGGCGGGCGACATACTGGTCCCTGGGGGAGGCCAACATAGGGCGCCGTCCGGCGATCAAGTTGGCCTGCCTAACCCCACAGAATGCCGTCAAGCTCGGCTCCAGAGCGGGGGTGGTTGGAAAACCCTCCTCTGTGAATCCCTGCACCTTAGTGAAGGGAACAAAGGTGGCCACCGGAGCCCTCAGGGTCCCGGCCATGTCGTCCAGAGCCACCCTCTCCCGTCCTAGGGGAACGGGGAGACCTCTGCATGCTGCTGCTTTGCCGATGATTTCCGGCAGCTCCAGCATAATGCCCCCCAACGCCGGTAGCGCCGTGGCCACGGAGAAGGGGACCGCGTGCTCGGCCGCCACACCCGTACCTCGCTCCGACCCCGTCTCCCCCGTCCGGGGAAGAGGGGGGAGGGGAGAGCCGCATGGCGAGCCATGGAGGGAGACGGGGTAGGAGTCGTCCGACTCCTGCCCCGCACTTTCCTCCAGAGACAGGCTGTCGTCCTTCTGGACGGCCCAGTCGTCCTCCTCAGCCGCAGCAGCTAGAGCGTCCGCCCTTCGCTTCCTGTCGGATGATGGGAGACGAACACAATGTGAACATGCGATCTGCTGGCTGAGAGCCGCGTCCGCGAGCTCTGGCCCCAGGCAGGATTCGCATATTGGGTGCAAATCATAGCTCATGATGTATCCCGTTTTGCACGAGGGACACACGCGGACACTATCATTGCTCATGATTCGATCTTCTTATGCTTCAGTAATGCTGGTCGCTGAAGAAAAGAGGGAGCAGATTGCCGGGCACCCTTCCTATTTATACCGGAAGGAGGCCCGAGGGTGGGGCCCGTGCACCTGGCGGGTGGGCGTGGACTACAAGTGTTTCAGTGCTGCGCGGGGGCGCAGAGGGATAACCCAATAGCGATAGCCTTAGAGGGCGAAGCCATATACGAAATAGAACCGCACGTTCATGACAGCATGGTAATGATTTGTTATTATGATGGATTTGATATTAACGAGGCGGCAGTTAGCAGCTAGCGGCTAGCTAGTCATTATGCTAATGTGCATAAATCGTTCTTATGTACTTATATTACGCTGTAACAGGATCTAGTGAACAGAGCTTCATTTAGCATGAAAGAATGATTGCACTTATTATTATAAGTATATATATATATATATATATATAGCCTACTTATAATAATAAGTAATATTAACTTTATTTAATATAACATTTACGGTACAAGATTTAATCATACAGCCCATGTATGATAATGAATTATAGCAAACATGTGCAATATATCCATTATTACAGCTCCGTGGGATGGCAGTAAGACGATATGGGTCCGTTCTTATTGTGCATCCATGGGTAAAGATAAAAGCAACTCACATTGGTTTTTCAAACAGCATCTCTGTAAACTACGTGTATTGTATTCACTGAATTTCACTCTCTGCCTTTAACGGCTCGTTGTAGCTCCAATAGCTCCAGCCCCCACCCTTCCTGTGAGCACAGTGTGCTCTGATTGGTCGGGACACGTAACATGAATGTGCCGGGCGGCGCGGTCCCGTGGGTTAGATGCGCGTTCATAATGCAGAGGGAAATAACTCTCAGAATAACGTTATTAGCACATTATTACAACTTGAGGAACGAATGTTTTTAATAAGGGCTATACAAGTGTTCATACTGGGTAGTTTATTTAGTTTAAAAAACATTATCCAACGATTTACAGACCACTCTTTCCCCATGTAAGTCAATGGGAAAAAGTGTTTCCGGGCCTGGCAACCAAACGGAAGTGTAGTACCGCCGTTTGGCCAGCACGAATATTTTCATCTGAGTCCAGCGCACTTCCTGGGGGCTTGCTTGTTTGAGACAAGCGAGACCTGCGCAGTTGCGATCAACGTCTTGCTAGTGCGTTGCATGATGGTTAGTCATTTTGTCCGACTTGCTCTGGAGGCCTGCATACATGAGACGTTGAAATCTCGCGGGACAAAGACGCCCGCAGCCTTGAGAGCGAGGCACGGCGAGGCGGCGCAGTTCCTCTCCACGGGCTGCGGAAGCGAAATGCTTGATGGGAAACGACTCGATGGTATCTCGAGCTGAGCGCTCATTGGTGGTTTTTACCAGGTACTGGTGATGAAACTCTCCAATTGGCTCGGCAAAAGTTTGTTGTTGTTTAGTGTCAGTTTTACGTCGCCACTTCCATTCACATTTTTCATCATTGTTCCACAATGTTTATCATCATTAAATTAATATCCATATATGTTATACTATACTTGCACTGCTTACCGTTTCATACTTTATATATCTTATCATATTCATACACACTGTTCATACTGCTCACAGGCTGCTGTGTATATCTAGTGTATTCATACCCCTCACTGTTTATTCATCATTCAATTCATTCTATATTTTATTCTGTCTATTGTTTGTGTACATTACTTTTCACTTTACTGCATTTCGTTGTCTCAGTACCTGTAATATGTGCAATAACAATAAAGTTGAATCTAATCTTGAGCAGGAACAAATGTATTTACTTAGTACATATCTGACATTAACGAGTAAACACATGTGCATTCTTTATAAATGCAAACCGAGTCAAGCCGACTCCGGAGGTGGCGGTATGCACCTTAAAGTTGTTTGCAATCCGCCAAAAAACCGAGAGAAGCAGAAGAAGAAGACGAAGCCGACTCCGAGCTGTCCGACTTCAGGCGAGCTTGTTGAGACTGTCACTACCCGATCCGTCCCCCTGCCCGATCTGTACTGCGCATGTGCGAGATGGTCCGCCATATTGGAGAACTCCGGACGGCAACCCAAGAAGGACACTTGACACAGTGGCCGTTTCTCAATCGCGAGGATGCTGGCTTGGTAGTCGCGTACTTCCAAGTCACTTCCTTCAGAAACGAAGCAAGTATACTTCCAAGCCACGGCTACGGAAAACGAAGAAGAATGGAACAGGCTAACAAGTGTGCCACTCTCTCTAACGGTTTCAACATAAACTGTACCAAAAATAAATACCTCACGATGTCTATCTAATTATGAACTTGCTTTACTTTCACGGAACACATTTTTCGTGATAACAAACAAATGTAACAAAGTAACATATTTACCAACACATGTTCTACGACACTACATACTTACATTTAAATGTGTGCTGGGTCGGTTCAGCCATTCTCCGCAAGGGTTTTTTAAATTGGTCCGTGCGCAAAGCATTGTGGGGATTTTAAGGACGCGAAGTCTACCCATGTGCAGACTCGAAATTTCCCCCAAACCAAGGACGCGGCCTCGGTGGAATTCCAAGTATGCTGGAGATTGGAACTGTCCTTCGGCGGCACTCGATGGCGTAGCATCCTTGAAATATTGGCTTGGAAGCCAAAATCCTCGCGATTGAGAAACGGCCAGTGGCTTTTGGCAAAGCTGAAAAATAAAACTCGAGAGAGATGAGTTATTGTTATTACAACGTGACTTCTCTATTATTTAACAACTCTTTTTATTGGGTTCTTTTATTTGGGGTTGATTACATTGTCAGAATAAGTGAGAAATGGATTTAACTTCTGTTAGACAGCTATCATACTGATTCTGAATAAATATTTACTGTGAATGTATGCAAAAATGTATGGCATATGGCTGTCTAACAGAAGTTAAATCCATTTCTCACTTATTCTGACAATATACTTAACCCCAAATAAAAGAACCCAATAAAAAGAGTTGTTAAATAATAGAGAAGTCACGTTGTAATAACAATAACTCATCTCTCGCGAGTTTTATTTTTCAGCTTTGCCAAAAGCCACTGTGTCAAGTGTCCTTCTTGGGTGCCGTCCAGAGTTCTCCAATATGGCGGACCATCTCGCACATGCGCAGTACAGATCGGGCAGGGGGACGGATCGGGTAGTGACAGAGACCTCCCCCGGCTGCGATCGGCTATTCTCGTCTACTTTCGAGGCGAGCCGCAACGCGTCTCAAACAAGCCTACTATGTATTGAAGTCAATGGAGAGAGAAAGATTATCTTTTGATCCCGTTTGAATTGTGCAACGAATTACACATATGATGTTTGTCAATTTCAAAGATAATTTTGCCAGTAAAAAAAATAAAAATGTGCCGTAAGACTGTGAAGTAACACATTTTATTGTGTGAAGCACTCAATGAACTACAACTCTGGTCTTGCACCAACACCAAGATGGCCGTCACGTTAGCACATTTCACCTCTTTCTTTCAGAATGAAGCGAAAAGTATTAAAAGAGGTGAAAATCACTACAAGTCTGGCCATGTTGAGAACTGTACACACAAAAGGGGAGTTAGTCGGTTCCAGCATGCGGGACCGGCTTTACAAGGTTTCGGTGAGTAACACGAATGTAATGTGTAACGTTAATGTCAGCTAGCTAAATTCACCTATGCGACTCTGGGATTTGTAGTCTTTCTAGTTGCGTATTTTTCATAGTCTTATATTTCAACAGTTTTAAGACAAACTGTGACTTTTTTGACATGGAAATTATCTTTTAAATTGACAAACATCATATGTGTAATTCGTGGCACAATTCAAACGGGATCGAAAGATAATCTTTCTCTTCCCATTGACTTCAATCAGACTTCAATACATCATTTTTCAGAAATAAGGTCCCATGGGGCGGAAGTAGATGGGCGTGACTTCGCCAGGTGGCGCGTGGGCCGGAAGTGACGCTGACGGCTCAGAGTTGTAATGCTGCCCATAAACTTCGGTTTCACTTCTGCAGCCATGTCGGTGTTATTTTCGGTAACGAAAGCATATGTTACCGAGACAAAACGTCTGAATCCAGCCCGTTGTGAAGATAGCCTTCGAGTTGCACCTGTCTGAGGGCCAAGGTAAGATATTTTAAGTACCATAAGCTGCATTTCTAACACGTTTGTGTAATTAGCAAAGGGCTAACGTTAGCAAACACGAAGCTAGGCTGTAGTTGAGCTGCACCGATAGTACATTCCTGAAACGGTAACATTGAATTCTCACTATGGTTTATGGCCCTTAGCTATTAGGCTATTATTCAACTCGTGTTCTTTATTGCTGCCAAATGAAACCTAGCTAAACATTGTTGATAACATAAGCAAGGAAAAGGAACAAGCTAGTAGCTTCCCCTTTCCTACAAAACTTCACACACGTTAGCTGTCTCACTTCACTGTCAGGCAAGAGCAGCTTCAATTTCTTTCTTTTTAATGCTGCATGCTTTAGCCTTTTCTTAGGGCTCTTGTATTGTTCTGATTTCTGAGGTTCTGACGACTTCAACTACTTCTCACAATTGTAATATATAGATATATATATAATCCAAAGTTAGTATATTTCTGTTTCATGATGAAATTGTGCTGAGTATTCCAATTGATTCAGTATTCTTTCCGTTGTGTATTATTAAAATACTCTAGTGATATGTCTTTCTACTGTGAGTTTGTATATATTTGCTGTTATGGTTCATTTGTATTATATTATTTATCTTATTACGTATTTTAGATATTTTTAACTCCTGTATATTGCTTGACAAAATCATTTCCCAATTTGGGGTGAATAAGACAAGATAAGATGGACCTTTATTAATCCTCGTGAGGAAATTCAGCAGTTTAAGCAGCAACAGAGTGAGAATGAAAAGCAGGACAGTACACACGAGGATAATACAATTAAAGATAAAATAGTGTAAGAAAGTAATAAGGTATCTACTTCTATCTCCCCTAAAGCAGAAAGGAGGATGGATGGGGTCAGCTGGAGCACCACTCGGGCGGCGGAGTCGTTCAGCCGCTCGGGGGCGGCAGCAGACACTCTCTCCAGGCTTGCCAGCTTTATTGCACGGGCTGACACAAAACAGCACACTCAAAACAAGAGGTCCCCTTATGGCTGTCCAGAATGTGGTGAGGGCTTCCTTTATGGGACAGAACTGTTGCAACACCAGGAACTAAAACATGCATTACCCAAGCCTCACCGGTGTCCGTCCTGTGGGCAGGAGTTCTCCCTAAAGTCGTCCTTGCAGCTACATAAGTGCAATCATGATGCTTCCCCATGTGAGGTTTGTCATGGAGAGTCACAGCTGGGCGCTCCGTGCCCTACATGTAGGACCCTCAGCTCAGATCCTGGCAGGCCGCAGGACAACTCGCCTCACCGCCAGACTCACATGCTGGATGGTAGCCCTTACGCATGTGCCCCGTGTGGGTGGGGCTTTAATCAGAAGCAGGCTCTGCTGCACCATCAGCAAGCTGGTTGTAGTGAACCACCTTCCCCTTCAGACGTAGTTGATGCAAGTAGCCTTCCAGAGGTTTCCCCACCAGTTTCTGAGGAAGACTCTGCCCGCTCTGACTCTTCAGACACCCATTGGCCTGTCAGCAGAGCGGTTAATGGTTGTCAATTCTGTTCGAAAATGTTCCACACAGAGGCTGGACTGCAGCGCCATAAACAGACTAACCATGCAGAGAAGCTGCTGAAGCCTCCTCGGGGACAAAAGATCAAAGCTGCTGGTGGAGAAGTGAGGAAAGGAAGGAATGACAAGGTGAATGGAGATTTAATTAAAAGGCCAAAATCCAGTAGGAAACTTCTAAACTGTCGCTCTTGTGACATGGTTTTCACTAGCACCTCTAAGCTGTACGTGCACAGAAAAGAGAAACACAGCAGGGAGAAAATAATTTTGAGTGAACCAAAGCCGATCATTAGAAAGCGCAGGAGAGGAGGAGCGTATCCATGTCAGGTCTGCGGGAAAGTCTTCGTCCATCATTTGTCACTTAGGGCACATTACAAACAGCACACAGCCTCAAGCTTCCCCACAAGCCAGCCTGTAGAATGTACCACCAAAGAATTATCAGATAATGGATCAAATAAAGTAAAAAGCAGCACAACGGAACACAAGATTGCTAAAGCTGGTCGAGGGAGGCCCAGGAAAATGCCCAGGACAGAGGAAAAGGTTACTAATCCAGGGAGTTGCTCAGAAGTGCCGACAGCCGAGGAGGAGGAGGAACTGGAGAGCGAATTTCCATGCCCCTCCTGTGCAGAGGTTTTCTCTCTGCAGTCGCAGCTGAAGGAGCATGTGGAGCTGCACCAGTCCGCCCTGAAGAGGAGGCAGTGCAGTGTCTGCACACACGAGATGGATACGTGCAAATGGCCGGGCTCAAAGCGGCAGAGGTTGTACCACTGTGTGCCGTGCCAGCAGGGCTTCTCTGCACTGGACTCTTTCCTAGAACACTGTCAGGAGCACCTGCGAGTCAGGGTGGAGGAGGACAGCATCACTGAGGGCTGCACACATCACAGCAAAGCCTGACATCCACTGTGAATGTTAGCAGAGATCCACTTTTTGCCTTGAAGGGTTTGAGAGAGAGTGATGAAATGTTATTGATTCACCTGTTCATTGATTAAGCATTCATAACATCTTGTTTTATACCCACGCTGTTGGTTTAACGTCATCCATATCAACGCTTCAAGAGAATACATTGTTAAAGGACCATACAATAATTTGTGCATGTTTCTTGGCCTTTCAATCACATATACTAATGATTGCTACATCAAATGTTTCTTTTACAGTACAGTATGTCAATCAATTTGAAGAAGGTGATAATTCAGTTTGGTAATTTACCTTTTCCCAGCATAAAATGCATTTCAAAATGGATCACTAGTTTGCTTAAGTGATTATGGGACCTTAACAAATCTCAGATTTTAATCTGCATTAGCAATATCATTTGTGAAACCAATCACAACAGAAGTAAAAGTTGGCATTGCTAAAACGATTTGTCATTAAAACATTGAGCACAAATATGAATCATTTCAGCTTTAAAATGTAATGAACACACTCTAAAGCAACAGGTCTACTGTAATGAATAACCTGTCTAGCAAGTGGTCATACTGAAAGGTTGGGGGAAAACACCTGTATGCTCCTTAATACAGTTGTGCGTTTAAGTTTGCTATCTCCACTCTATTTGCCTGTTCCTGCTGCCAGTGTTATTGGAAGCTCAGGACATTGCCAATGCAATGCTGCAGATATTTTGTTTGCTAGAGACACTTTTTTACACCAAACATCTAGAGTGCTTAAGCCAAGTAAGATATATCTGAGGTCAGCTATGTCTTTACATTGTTTTTCTTTATTAGATTTGGCAATAATTAGTCACCAATTGGTGGGGACTCTGGTGTGTCACTGGCTGTATTGAAGCACTAGATATAAATATAGTGCTTTGAAATCCTAAAGTACGAGATCTTTTTGAGGTTCCAACATGTGTAAGTTATTGTCTTTATCTACAAAATAAAGTACAGTTGAATAGCTGCCATGGGAAGCCTTTCATCACAGCCTTTCTTTTTAGCTGCAATGTACTTGGTGATATTATCTATGCAAACATGAATGGATGGCAGCCCTTCAGTGTGTGATGCTTGATAAGTGCGCTTTGACGAATGGACAAGGATGAACATCAGTTGTTTTTGTTATTTTCTAAGAGGTTTCGGCTACTGTTTTCAAAGTAATACTGTGAAAATGTAGAGAAAGATTGAATAGGTTTTAAAGCTTCTACGTTTCACGGTGTTTAGTAAATGAGGTTATGGCTCTTAATAGACAACAATTAAAACTATTCTCATTAAATATTTTGTCTGTCCTTTATACTAATGTTGTGTATACAGTCACATTTTCCTAACAATGGTAAACGTAGTGCTCATTACATGTTTGAGCTCTTTATTTTAAATTGTATGCATATGTCCGTTAGTTGCTATCACTTAACAATGTTAAAAACTACACTCAGTTTAGAGCAGACACAAAGCTGAATGACTGACAAGTGGGGATCACCTGGATCAATCAGAATGAGAAGACCTTTATTAGTCCCACAGAGGGGACATTTACATTCAACATTACATTAAACCGTGTTTATTAAATAAAATGTATTTAAGTTATTTTGCAAGAAGGTTTTACATTTAGGTGATGCCTTAATTTGCAACGTTATTCAAGCTTATCTTGTGCTTTACCTGACTTTCGTTCCGACTGTTTAGTTCAGAAAATATATGAAATGAACGAGCAGGACTGTCTCCTCCCGGCCTTACGGCGGCGCTCTTAGCATTTAGTAGCGACAGGAACTTCCGGTTGCTCAGCGCACGTTTTCCTTCCGCAGTATTGTGAACGACTGAACGACGAACATTCAAACAACTGAGTCGGTTTTTAGAGAAAATACAGACAACATGAGCAAAGCACACCCCCCAGAGCTGAAGAAGTAAGTATTCGGGTTTGTTTAAATGAATATATAACGTATACTGTAATTTGCTGACGTTTTATTCTTTAAAATGATACCCGTGAAGTTACCCTGCTACGTTGTTTGCCAAGGAAGCTAGCTAACATTAGATAGCCGGTCCGAATGCTAGCTTAGTAGTTATCGTCTAAAAGCCTCTAACATAACTCTAATGTTTTTCTTTCTACAGATTCATGGACAAGAAGCTTTCCTGTGAGTATACTCAAAAGCCAATATTCAAGCCTACTTAAATCGTTCAAATTACAGCCTTTAACCCTTGGAAAGCACTCGTTTAAAAAGTACAATAGGCGAAGAAACAATATGAAATCATTGAAGTTGTAGTGTTTACATAAAAATGGGTATTTTGTATGTAATATATTTGCAACATAAAGTTTAAAAGTATACTTTCTAGAATGTAGTTTACAAATGATTTACTTTGCTTGTTTTGTTCATGTTGAACAAAACTGTAAAATAATTGAAACCGACTGATAATGCAAAGAGCCCACAGACATAAATCCTTCTGAGCAACAGTTTATCAAGAATAGAAGCAATCAACAGTTGATGGTTAAATACACTCAAAGCTTATCAAAATGTGTGCAAGTAAAACAAAACTGGCAACCTATAGCATCTTAAAGCTTCCCAATTAAAAACGAAAGGTTAGTGTCCCCCTTAAAATCATGCAATATTAATCAGATGTATTTTGTCCTTCAGTGAAGTTGAATGGAGGCAGACATGTGCAGGGCATCCTGCGTGGGTTCGACCCCTTCATGAACCTGGTGGTGGATGACTCTCTGGAGATGGGCCCAGGTGGACAACAGAACAACATCGGCATGGTGGTCAGTATCTCAGCTTTGTTTTTCTGATCGTCAACAAATTCTATGTAAGAGCTAAGCTGTATTCAAAACCAATCATTTCTACTACTTAGTGCAATATACTACATTTTATTCTGGTGGTATAAATGCTGTTTATTTATAAGTAAGGTGGCCACTAATGGCGCATTTTCACTGCAGGGCCTAGCGCGGCTTAGTACGGTATAGTTAGGCCTTGGTAGGCCAGGCTCACTTTATGCTGCGTTTCCATTACTGTTTAGTAGCTGGGGCAGTAACTATAGTAACGCAGTGTAGGCGGAGCCGTGACTTCATCTTCAATGCGAACCACAAAGCCAAACATTAGCTGTTAGCACTCAGAGCTCACAGCTCCTCATATCTGTTCAGAAACTAGACAAAAGTTGTTGGCCCGGAAAGAACCACGATTTTGGAAGGCCAGAAAAACGGAAACGTTAGCCGGAACTACCCCTAGTGGAAACGCAAAAAAAAACGGGCCTCATATCATTCGTAGCCTGAATTATATAACATTTTATACCTAAAAACATGGCGAAAATTGATATTATATTCTGCCCGCTGTGAGGGACCGGTGAACGGAGCAAAACACACCTTTAGACGTCACCTAACACATTTAGCTATGGCATAGTCGTATATATATATATATATATACATTGAATTATTCAATTTGATAATATGTAATCAACATCACTCCCAAAAAAAATAATTAATAACAAAAAACATTTAAAATAAAAAATATTCATAACTCATATTCGAATACATGAATAATTATTCGAATACCTGAATCATTTCGAATATTCGATTAATCGTTCCCATCCCTAATAAAAAGAGATATCCAAAATCCCTTCTGTAAAAACTTTAGATTCTAATATGACTACAAAATGAAATAAGAATTTTGAACCTGGCTTTATGCAACGTTCAGATTTGTGTTCCTGAAATGTATTAAAATATGCGCATATTTAATGAGAATATGGCTCATATGCATATTTAAACAACTTGTAATACAAAAAACAATTGTCTTAATGTAAGTAATTAACTGGAGACATTTCTACCTGAAGTTAAAAAAATGACCCTATTCACCTGTAGTGTCTCGCCTTAACACGAAAAAGCATAGCAGTTCAACTTTTCTGACATGTCCACTGAAATCTGCGTTACGGCACTTTCACCTGACTAGCAAGGTCCAATAATATCAATATATACAAAAACGGTGGTATTAATTTAAATTCAATTAATATATAATTTCTAATGCCGACATAAACATATTTTCTCAAATATGAATATGTGCTTAAGCAGCTCTTGCAAAGAGTCATAAAAGTACTCTTTAGATTAAAGTATTTTAGTAAAGAAGTAATGAATACAGGAGTTATTTAATCCTTCTGGCAAGGCATAAAAAACACAAGTGTACTGTACTAGCATAATGTCTACACAGGGTGTAGTAAAAGCAGCACGTTATTCACAGAACCTTCACGATGTGTTCAGGGACAGTAATGAGTATCAGCAGAGAAGTCAGCTGTACATATGCAACGAACAGAGCCTAGCATAGCATCTCTGTAGTTATGCAAGTAAAACTGAAGAAACTAGACTAGAAGTGTCAAAATATACTAAACAGTTGTGCACATGTAGCATTGGTGAAATACATTTGCATTCTGGTTAATTGTGGAGGTTATGACAGTGACGCATGGAGAAAGTCTGTCTTTAATAAACAGTGTTAACTCTGTGTTCTCATGTTTCGCAGGTCATCAGGGGAAACAGCATCATCATGTTGGAGGCCCTGGAGCGAGTATGAGAGGAGAAAAGAATGATCCACACTCTGTTTTGAAAGAGGCAATGCGTTTGTGTCTTTGAACTGTAACATGTGTCATCTGATTTCCATTGATGTGGATGTTATGTTTTGACATATTTTGAATTGCGTGTGAGATATTGATCTTGTGAATAAACCAGTTTTTCTTTGTAAGTTGTCTGTTTAGTTAACTAATTCCAGAGTATTAACGTCAAATGTTCTTTATTCATGGTACTGTAGATTATGTTTCTGTTCAGGATAATATCAACCCTGCATTAATCATGAGAATTAGGTCAACAATTGCATTGGTTGAATGTTTGGCAATTAAAAATCACATACAGGTACAATCCCATGAAGCCCCCTCCAGCAAAGTTGTTTAACTTTCAAAGTCAGAGCCAGCTCCAGAACAGCTGATAGCACTTTTGCACAAGATCCTTCATAATGCTCGTTTCCAGTGCAATGATTAACGGTCTCTGTCTGAGGTGGGCTCCTCCTCTCAGCAGAAACTCCTCCAGGTGTCCTCTCAGTTGACATTGAGCAGTAGCTGCAGGACAGCCACACTGCTTTCTCAATACATTCTGTGCCTGGATATTAAATAACAAATATATAATAGTCCTTTTTTTAAACCTGAATCAAATGTGTATATATAGATATATTAACAGTTGGCAGTTATGGAAATAGCCACAGATATAATAAATATAAGCTAGAAATAAGCACACGCTCTATGAAAAACTGTCTTATTGTATTTGGCTAAACCATGGATGAGAGACAAAACTACATGTGAACTTCTGAAGGAAACGGGTTGAGTGTGCTTTGATCAACATATATGGGGGGAAAAATGCACCTGTGACGCACTTAGTAAATATGGAATGCTGTTTAAGCCAAAATTAAATACATACATATATAAATATGCCTATGAAATAAATAAGGTTATGAAATACATTCTGAAATAAATAAACAAGGCAATAAATATATATAAATGTACATTTAAATACACATTTATTTCAAGAGATTTTATTTCATAATGCCACATTTATTTATTTCAGGGGACTTGTATTTCATAATGCCACATTACATTTACATTTCTTGTATTCAAATGAACGGGGCGTGGTTAGATCACTGATCCAGACCAGCGCCATATAGAGAGTTAAAGACTATAATTAAACAATCCAAAATGTAAACATCTTAAATAGAGATAAAATAACATTACAAAAAGTTGAAAATATACATAGATAGTGTGAACAGCTTACCTGCCTTGTTAACATATACATGTTAGGTTAATGTTGCCTTGGTTAAAGAGCCTGTTGCTGTTTATTGCTTTGAATTCTTTAAAACAAATATTATCTTCTTAAACCTGTATGGTAGTCAGGAGCATCACATCCTAATGTTTGATATATTTAGAGGGAGGGAAGGAAGGTTTCAAAATTCTGATTAGATACATTTCTACCATTTCTTTAATTCATGGTGGTTTCAGTAATCCTATGGTAATTGAGGACACAAGTAATCTAAAGTACTAATGTAATCTTTATGACTTTCAGAAAGGACAGGAGACCCACAGGTGCCTATATCAATGATTGTCAACTGACAGCACAATGAGTCAAAGGGCTAGCAGCAGCAGCAGCAGCATGATGATGATGATAAATGTGTTGTTTTAGGAACATCCATGTAAATACACTGAAAATATAAACGCAACACTTTTGTTTTTGCTCCCATTTCTCATGAGATGAACTCAAAGATCTAAAACATTTTCTATAAACACAAAATAACCATTTCTCTCAAATATTGTTCACAAATCTGAACAAATCTGTGATAGTGAGCACTTCTCCTTTGCCGAGATAATCCATCCCACCTCACAGGTGTGGCATATCAAGATGCTGATTAGACAGCATGATTATTGCACAGGTGTGCCTTAGGCTGGCCACAATAAAAGGCCACTCTGAAACGTGCATTTTTTCTTTATTGGAGGGGTCCGAAAACCTGTCAGTATCTGGTGTGAGGGGTAGGGTTAGGGTTAGGGTAATGTTGTGAATCGAGTGGCCTGTGTTCGTCGTCCATAACATACGCCTGCCCATACCATAACCCCACCACCACCATGGGCCACTCGATTCACAACATTACCCTAACCCTATACTATATATACAAGTGTACAGCAGTACAGATCGGGCAGGGGGACAGATCGGGAAGTGACAGTCACTACCCGATCTGTCCCCCTGCCCGATCTGTACTGCGCATGTGTGAGATGGTCCGCCATATTGGACAACTCCGGAAGGCAACCCAAGTAGGACACTTGACACAGTGGCTTTTGGCAAAGCTCAAAAATAAAACTCGAGAGAGATGAGTTATTGTTATTACAACATGACTTCTCTATTATTTAACAACTCTTTTTATTGGGTTCTTTTATTTGGGGTTAAGTACATTGTCAGAATAAGTGAGAAATGAATTTAACTTCTGTTAGACAGCTAATCATACTGAATAAATATTTACTGTGAATGTATGCAAACATTTATGGCATATGGCTGTTGATAGGCTAGTTTGAGACGAGCGAGACCGATGCAGACCTGCGCAATTGCGATCGCCGTCTTGCTAGTGCGTTGCATGATGGTTAGTCATTTTGTCCGACTTGCTCTGGAGGCTCGCCTACATTGAAATCTCGCGGGATAAAGACGCCCGCAGATTTCAGAGCGAGGCGCGGCGAGGCGGCGCAGTTCCTCTCCACGGGCTGCGGAAGCGAAATGCTTGATGGGAAACGACTCGCTGGTATATCGAGCTGAGCGCTCATTGGTGGTTTTTACCACGTGCTGGTGATGAAACTCTCCAATTGGCTCGGCAAAAGTTTGTTGTTGTTTTGTGTCAGTTTTACGTCGCCACATCCATTCACATTTTTCATCATTGTTCCACAATGTTTATCATCATGAAATTAATATCTATATATTTGATACTATACTTGCACTGCTTACCGTTTTCATACTTTATATATCTTAGCATATTCATACTGTTAATGCTGTTCATACTGCTCATAGGCTGCTGTGTATATCTAGTGCAGGGGTTGGCAACCCGCGGCCCACGGGCCGCATGCGGCCCTTTAAGCCCTCTGCTCTGGCTCCCTTGAGTTTAGACAAAAATAAGAAGGAAATAAAATAAAAGTATTTGTAGGACTATTTATATTGTGTTGCATGGTTGAAATCTTTTTCGTATCTTGTATTTTGAGGTGATACTGTGACACAAACATAAAAAACAAAACGGTTTTAATTAGGTCAACTAAAATATGCGTCACATCCTGCTACGGTCCCGCGCGAGCGCCTTTTCTTGGAGGCGAATAACCTGACCCCCGGCTCGATGAGCGAACTATGGATAAATCAAAGAAAAGTACCGGAGGAACACAGGATTTAATTCTGTGTGGACAGAGTTATATGCTTTCACAGCAAACGATGCTGGTTTACCGGTATGTTTGATATGTAGAGAGAAGTTGTCAACGGTGCTGCAGCCTTTACATATCGAGGAACAACACGGGAGAGGAAGACAGCTGACGATCTTCAGTCATAATTCAATGGGGTATGTCATTTATTTCAGAAAACACTTTTTGTTATATTCCATGGAATGCTCTTAACGTCCCGATAGCAATGAATATATTAAATGCTTTGACAATAAATACATACAAAAATTAATCTCTGGAAGCCATAGCGCTGTAAAAAACACGACCAATCATCTGAGCCGGCCCGGCTAAAGTAACTGGATGGCCTACCTGCCTGTCAGCCTTCCATCTGTGCACAAACTTATCTCGTGCCCTCATTGGTCATGTGCGCGTTCGTGTGTGTTGGAGGAGGGGCTCTGTGAGGAAGTCTGAAGGAAGAGGCATATTCTTTCAAATTCTAGCGCACTCGAGCTGGTTTCTCCATTCTTACCTACCTTTAACTCTTTTTAGGGTGCTGCTATATGTTTTATTTATTTCAAAGTGGGCCCATTTTAATAATATTTGTTTTCCCCTTCAAATGTGCAGAGGACTCCCCAAGTGCTGTGTTTAATTTATTTTAAAGTAGGCCTGTGTATTATTTGTAATTCTCCTTATAAGAGTTCTTTGTTTCTTATTAGAGGTTAACAGTTTTATATCATGTAATAAATAGCCTAATAAATGCAAAAAAACTGTAGTTTTTGTCTGATATAACAATAAAAAACTATGTAATATGTTTTGCGGCTCCAGACAAAAAATGTTTTGGGAAAAAGGAGCAAAATGGCTCTTTTGGTCAAAAAGGTTGCAGACCCCTGATCTAGTGTATTCATACCCCTCACTGTTTATTCATCATTCAATTCATTCTATATTTTATTCTGTAGATGGTGTACATTACTTTTCACTTCACTGCTTGTTAGAAGCTAAACTGCATTTCGTTGTCTCAGTACCTGCAATATGTGCAATAACAATAAAGTTGAATCTAATCTTGAGCAGGAACAAATGTATTTACTTAGTACATATCTGACATTAACGATTAAACACATGTGTGCATTCTTTATAAATGCAAACCGAATTTCGAGGCGAGCTGCAGCTCGCCTCGAAATTATGAAATAAAAGTCTCTTGAAATTAATAAATGTGGCATTATGAAATACAAGTCCCCTGAAATTAATAAATGTGGCATTGTGAAATACAAGTCCCCTGAAATAAATAAATGTGGCATTATGAAATAAAAGTCTCTTGAAATTAATAAATGTGGCATTATGAAATACAAGTCCCCTGAAATTAATAAATGTGGCATTATGAAATATAAGTCCCCTGAAATTAATAAATGTGGCATTATGAAATATAAGTCCCCTGAAATTAATAAATGTGGCATTATGAAATAAAAGTCTCTTGAAATTAATAAATGTGGCATTATGAAATACAAGTCCCCTGAAATTAATAAATGTGGCATTATGAAATATAAGTCCCCTGAAATTAATAAATGTGGCATTATGAAATAAAAGTCTCTTGAAATTAATAAATGTGGCATTATGAAATACAAGTCCCCTGAAATAAATAAATGTGGGATTATGAAATACAAGTGCCCTGAAATAAATAAATGTGGCATTATGAAATAAAAGTCTCTTGAAATAAATAAATGTGGCATTATGAAATAAAAGTTTTTAATTTTAATTTAAATGTACATTTATATATATTTGCCTTGTTTATTTATTTCAGAATGTATTTCATAACCTTATTTATTTATTTCATAGGCATATTTATATATGTATTTATTTATTTATGTATTTATTTAATTTTGGCTTAAACGGCATTCCATTATGAATTCCATTCATAATGCATTCCATAAGCAAATGCCTCGTGCTGTTCATCTCTCATCTGGAGCCCCTCTCCTTTAGTTGACTGTCGGCCTGGCAGCAGGGGGCGCTCTCTGAAGGACACGCTCTTTACTCAAGTGGACTTTTATTTTGAAAGGCGATTGTCGTCATCGCAGACACGTCTTTCTACGTTGTATGTCGTCGTCGCTCGCCCGTATGTGGAAAGTAGCAATGTCGGAGGAGGAGGTTGGGAAGGCGTTACAGTCGGTAGTGGAGCGGGTGAACCAGGCGGCGGCACGGCGGCCCAAGGTAACTGCTACCCGGGAGGCTCGTCTCTGGAGCTCCGGCAGCGGGGCTTCAGAGAGGACCGAGAACGTCGTGCTGCGGCGGCACGACCCGTTATGTAAGGCTGCCTAACACCTCAACCTTTGGCCGGGAGTTGGTGGGGCTGGTGGCAGCACTTCCATAACCCCAATGCATGGGTATTACAGGCGGGGGGACAGGATCCGTTCTGCACGGGGCTGCACAGTGGAGGCCTGCAGTCCGGGTTCTGGATGCCATTTGTCATGTATTTGGGCTATTTAGTAAACACGAGCACGCTGTGTATCATCCTCACTCCACAGCTCTGTGACAGTGGGGGGTTGGTGATTACATTAAAGCATTTAAGGATCATACAATCAAACATCCTGCGGTCTTTTTGTGTTTAGGTACTAATCATCTTAATTATAAGAAGAGCTGAATGAATGGCATGCCCTTCTTTGTCGATTAGTGGACTAATTGCTCATTTTGGTCTTACTTTACTTAGATTCCCTTAGTCGATTAGTCGATCTTTTAAGCTTTGTTAATGCTGAATGTTTTTATTTTAAAGCTGCTTTTTATTTTTACAAATCTTTTTATTGCAAACAAGTCATAATCCAGCAAATGACAAGAAGTAAGAACAGTAGTAATCAATACAAAACAGTACAGATGTTACAGTCAGCAAATGTAGACAATGGTGATTATTACAAAGGACCTCCTTGAAAATAAAGTAATGTATTGCTCCATATTCACTTCAAGGTTCGTAGAGAGTCCTTGTTTACAGTTTTGTTTTGTTTTTTTCATTCATTTAACCCCCCCACCCACAGGTATGGTTGGCCCCAAATAGTAAAATAACTGAATAAGTCAGATAAAATTAAAACATAAATAATAATAATATCATACTAATACAAATAAATAAAAAGAAAGTCAAGAGCGAAAACAGTCTGTAAGAATCCGGTATAGGGGAAGAAAATAATAGTAAACATTGTCGTCTTGGTGAGGAAAAAGGGTTTCATTAAGAGGGAAAAGGAAATTAGAAGAGTAGTCTAGGGCAAAAGACAAAGGGTCATGGCGGAAGAGCAGTAATATGAATGGTCACTTTTATTTTATTTATTTCCTTTTAGAGAGCTACCTGCGACTCAGCGTCAGAAGTGATAGGGAGTTCTTTGATAAGGCCTAATAGTGGGTCCCAGGTAGTATGGAAGGATTTCAGAGATCCTTTTAATGAGAATCTTAACTTTTCCATCTGAAGGCATTGTAAGACATCACGTATCCACTGATCATGTGTTGGTGGGGAAGCATGTATCCATTTTAAGAGAATAGAGCATCTAGCTCAGGCATCCTCAAAGTCCGGACTCCGGTCCGGATCCGGACCGAACCACAACTGTCTCTGGACTCTCAGCTAATTATACTTTTCATATGTATTATCTGTATTATCTGTGTTATCTGCGAGACATCGCCACAACGCAACGAGTCAAAATTCTCCGCTATGTCCACTGCAAACAGCGCATGTACGACTGTTCCACTGTCTGTGTGTGTCTGTCAACACTTTGGTCCAATCACATTCAGTATCCCGTCAGCGTTTTTTCCCACCAGCAACAGTCTGTGAATCAGAGGCACAGTAAGGCGGGTCTTCGCGGAATGCGGGTGGGAAAAATGTGTGTGTGTGTTTAAAAAAAAAAAAAAAGTCAGAGCGAGAGTTAACAGCTCATCTAGTTGCATCTGTACTGTAGCTAGTAGCCTAGTTTCACCTACCGGGGTGGCAACTGCCACCCTAAAAATAGGCCGTGGCAGCTGGGTGGTTTGAAAGAAAAGTTGTGGCTCATCGGACATTTATGAGAGAAAGTCTCTAATGTCCGAGTGCAAGTGAATGCAGCACAATATGCACGTCTTGTAACCCCTCCCCTTGGCGCGAGCGTGGAAATATGATTGGCGGCGATTTAATTTGAACGGCGCAAAACGAGAAGCATTCGGATCCAAGCACTGAAGGAATGAGGTATTTGCGGTCTACACTGACAGAGAAGAGACTTTTCAAGTTTGGCTGTACTCAGAATTGAATCAAAACGCACTAAAGCTGTTGATCTTAATACGTTTGTGAGGAGTTTTGCTGAACAAAATGGTAATCGCCGCATTCAGCTGTAATAGACATGTCAACTTGATGCTCTGCTCACGGATGAGCATAACAAACTATTAAGATGATGACCTTACGTGTGTAAATATATTTTTTTCTTTGTGGGGGTCTGCCCCCAAAAAACTGTTTTAAGTCCTGAGAAAGTCAAATAAGACGGTGAAAAAAGTAACCACTTTGATTTAACCTGGCCAGTAGGTAAGGACTTTCCACTGGATAATAACTGAAGTAGTGATGTTTGAAGGCAAACAAAAAGAGGAAATAACAGGTCAAATCAAGCAAATCCCCTCTCAGATTCCACGGCAACCAGAAGAACATACATACTGGCTGGTGATTTGATTCATCAGCTTTGTGATGGAATAAAAAATGCACAGTGCATTTCCTTAGCTGTGGGTGAGTCCACTGACACCACTGACAATGCTCAGTTGCTGGTGTTTGTGAGTTTTTATGATGAGGCAAAGGGGGAGTTTGTTGAAGATGTGTTGGGCCTGACGAACCTCAGTGGACACACAAGGGGGCAAGACATTTATAAAGCAATAATGGGAATGCTGAATGAAAGAGGGTGCAGCTGCCTTTATTCATAACTGTGCAGCTCTTACACTGTGACTCTGAGGGGTCAAGCACAGACACAATAACAATGAAAACTGCTGCATACAGATTATTTTTGTTTTTGCAACCTCGTGTTAAGAATCTTGTTGCAATTGTTTAAAAGTTTGAATGACCGTAATAAACGTTTTTTTTTTACCTTTTAAGATTTGTATTTGAGTACCCCTGGTCTAGCTAATAGAGTGGTGAAGGCAATGACACAGCGTATGGTAATGGGCATATTCTCAGATGGAGGAAGGCCGAACAGTGCAGTCATAGGATTAGGGTCTATCTTTTTGTTAAAGGCCCGCTCAATGGTTCCAAATATGTCAGACCAAAATGTGTCCAACCTCGGGCAAGTCCAGAACATGTGCAGATGGTCAGCTGGGGAATGATTGCATCTGTTGCAGGCATCACTCCGATCTGGGAATATTTTAGCCAGCTTAGCATTAGTAAAGTGAGCTCTGTGGAGCACCTTGCACTGAAGTAGGCCATGTCTAGCACAGATAGATGATGTATGGACTAGGTTGAGAATGTCACTCCATTGATCATCGGAAATGTTGCTACCTAGATCACGCTCCCAGAGCTCCTTAAGAGGCACCATAGGGTCCGGACTCAGGGAACCAATCTGACCATAGGGAACTGAAACCAAGCGCTTTTGATCAGGGTCGAGTGTGAGAAATGTATCAATTGGCGATTCGGGGGGGGGCGGTTAGGAAAATGGGGAAATTGCTTTTGGATGAAGTGCCTGATTTGGAAAAAACGGAAGAGATGACTGTTGGGCAAGTTGAATTTGACTGAAAGGGACTCAAAGTATAAAAAGACTCCATCCTCGTAAAGGTCAATAAGCGTTGCGAGCCCGTTGCGAGACCATTGTTCGACCAAACGCGGAAGGCCGGGTCAGTACACGATGGGGAGAATAGGTGATTGTTTGAAATTGGGGCGTGAACTGAAGCTCTATGTAACCCGTGCTGTTTCCTGAATTGGAGCCAAATGCTTAAGGTGCTAGTAACAATTGGGTTACTCAAATGTTTATGGGTCGCTACAGGGAGCTGAGAGCAGATTATAGAGTGCAAAGGAGCAGAAGATGACAGCTCGATATGTACCCAAGGTGGGCAGGGGTCTGAAAGTTTATATTTAGCCCAATAGAGGAGTTTGTTAATATTAGAGGCCCAGTAATAGTGGTGAAAGTTGGGGAGCGCCAGGCCGCCTTCTGATTTAGGGAGTTGGAGACACAACCCTCTAATACGCGCAGGCTTGTTGTTCCAGATGAACGCATTCAACTGCTTATCAAGATCAGTGAAAAAAGATTTATTGATGCGCACTGGGATGTAGTGGTGGTCTAATGGATAGTGAGGTGGGCTGAAGATCGGAAGGTTGTGAGTTCAAATCCTGCCAGGAACACCACCACTAGTGTGCCCTTGAGTAAGGCACTTAGCCCTTAGTTACTCCAGGGAGAATGTCCCTGTAATCGGTCATTATAAGTCGCTTTGGATAAAAGCGTTAGCTAAATTAAATGTAATAATGTGTTGGAAAAGGTAAAGAAACTTTGGCAGGATGACCATCTTTATAAGGTTTACGCGACCCGCAAGAGACAGGGGAAGGGAGGCTCACCTAGACATATCAGCTTTGCATTTATCTAGTAGAGGCTGAAAGTTTCTAGGGAACAGGTCTTTAAAAGAGTTTGCAACAAACACCCCCAAGTATTTGAACCCCTCCACAGCCCTTTTAAAGGGGAATAGGGATTGGGGAAGTGCCTCAGCCCTTTTATTTACAAAAAATACTTTGCTCTTTTGAATGTTTAGTCTGTAACCTGATACACGGCCAAATTGATCTAAAATCGACAGTATGGGGGGGAGAGAGGATAAGGGGTTCGAGATCATAAGAAGAAGGTCATCAGCATATAGAGACAATCAGATCATCGATCTCACATCGATATCACAATATTTCCTTATCTGAGTCAGCTTCTCGAGCCGTATCTGGCCGTGCAACACTTAGTTACATTGTCACATATACTGTATGCAGACATATTATTTTAAGCAACACATTAAGTTGACGAAACACTCAACTCAAATGTAATAAAGTCAGATCCCCTCGTGTTTTAGATGGGGCAGTATCATAAAACTGTTGTACGCTTTCAAACACTCGGTAGTTTATTTTTTAACGAGTTGTTCTGTATTCTCCTTGCAGGTGCAACTATGTGGCTTGTATCCTGGATTATATGTTTAAGTCATCATGGATGTTTAAAGTTCATATTTGTCTAATATTAGTTTACTTTTCATTAATGAAGTATGACACT